TTCAGCAGTGATTTTGTTTTCCAGGTGACCAGAGCCACCTGAAATGTCAATAGTTCGTTCGTCTGTCCATGCCAAATGGATCGTGGGGAAAGTGATTGGGACAGCAATGCAAAAAACCGCTAAAGTGAGAGTAACCAGGCTGGTTCTGGATCCCTATTTATTAAAGGTGAGAATCAGTTGGCGTTGATACATCACCCACACATCCTGGGTTCAGAGCAGAAAAACACTTCTCTATCAGTAAAAACACATGGAGCACCTGCTGCATGCCAGGTACTGGGCTGGTTTAACGAAGTGAATTATTCGTGGTGTGTGCTCACATTCTGAGGACACAGAGAGCTCATTTCAGTTCAGTCTGGTAAGCACTGTAGTCTTTCTGTGTGCAATGGATTGTGGGAGCAGGAAGCAGGACACCTTGTTCATTCCCAGGTTGCTGAAGGAGCGCATCCTCCATTTAGAGACATTTGAGCTGAATCTCAAAAAGGATTTTATCCAGAGGACCAGGTTGGGGGAAGTCATTCTGGCCACGATGAGTAGTAGTTTGTGGAAGTTCTTTTAGCCATGAGAGGGTAGCACATTCTACAGGAACAGCGGGTATTTGGGCAAGGGTGAGCCCAGAGTTTGGCACAATTGAATGGGTACAAGAACAACCGGAGCTGGACCGTGAAGAGTCTTTTATGTTGTGTTTTGGATTTCATCCTATAAGCAAAGGAAAGACAGACTTGGAGATGGGTAGGTATGAGGATTGGAGGTCAGGAAATGGGTAAGGAGGCTATTGAAAAAGTCCAGGATGGAAACGATAAGGACCTGAACAGTCAGTCCTTGGAGCAATGGGGAAAAGTAGATTTCAGAAAGGACAGAGCCCTTGCTTTGTTAGATGTGTAAGGGAGGGAATGGGAAATGTCAAGGATTTTCTGCATTCAAGATGGTAGAAATGCCAGTTGTTATCTGGGATCAAACGCGGGAGTAAGCTGAAAAGTGACGGCGTGATCAGTGACCTTAAACTCAGAAGACTTTAGTTTGAATACTGACCTGACTCTGTCGTTTACTAGCTGTGCACATTACTTAGCCTCCCTGAGCCTGTTTTTCTCCTCTGTAAGTGGGAGTACCTGCTGTGGAGGGGCTGCCTGGAGGAATAGATGATTCTAGTTATCTGGAGTTTGTTTGCAATACGTTGGGCTAGACATGGAGCTAAGTGCTTTATGTATATTACTAGAGGCCCAACGCACGAAAATTCGTGCAAGAGCAGGCCTGCCTTCCTCCGGGTGCCGGCACTGGGGACCCGGGCTGCTTCCCTCCTCCTGCCACCCGCAGGCACCCGGGACCCGGGCTGACTTCTCTCCAGCTCTGGCTTCGTCAGGAAGGACGTCCAGAAGACGTCCGCTCTAATTAGCATATTACCCTTTTATTATTATAGATGCTAATTCTCTTGGTATCTTTAGAGGTGCAAGTATTAGAGCCTCATTTTATGGTGGAAAAAGCTGAGCTTGGAGTTAAGTGATTTGTCCTAAATTACACAGCTAGTGGTAACAGTAGCATGTTTATGGACTGGAGAGAAGGTGCCACTGGAGAGAAGAATTTAAGTAGTGTCAAGAAGGATGGTAATCGATAGAGCAAGGGTACTGAAGAGAATACACTGGAGAGCTTGGGGACAGGATCATCTCTGGAAAAGTCATTGCTGTTTTCCAGAAGTTAAGCAACTAATTTTTGTATTGGAAACTGCCTTAAATATGTTATCTTTACCCCCCTACCCCCCAAGTCCCAGCTTTTTTTCTGTGCATTACTTTTTCATATTCTGTACTGCACTGCCAGATCACAGATGGGAACTGCTCATTTGTTCTTCCTTCTCTCAACAGTATTTTAATAAACGAAAAACCTACTTTGCTCATGATGCTCTTCAGCAGTGCACAGTTGGGGACATTGTGCTTCTCAAAGCTTTACCTGTCCCACGAACGAAACATGTGAAACATGAGCTGGCTGAGATCATTTTCAAAGTTGGACAAGTCATAGATCCAGTGTCCGGAAAACCTTGTGCAGGAACTGCCTACCTGGAGAGTCCAGTCAATTTGGAAACCACCCATCTAACCAAAACCCCGGAAGAACACAATATCTCCTCAAAACAGTGAAGGAGCATTAGAAAAACCAGCCAGAGGGAATGGTTTATAAGTTTGCTTTATGGAAAAGAAATTTTTCTAAGTTTCATCACAAACTGATCAGTTTTTCTTCTGGTATTTATGAAATAGCTAAAAGTAAATGAATAAAGCGTTTGTTATAATTTTCCAAAAAGGTTTATGGTCATGTTTCAAATTTCCTTTTCAGTGAACATGCTTTCCTGTTACACTAAATGTGCCTAGCAATCTGCTGCATTATTTTTTTAAGCTCACTGTTTTAGATGTGTGTGTGTGTGTGTGTGTGTGTGTGTGTGTGTGTTTGTTTCATTCAAAGGAATCTTGAATTTATTTTAGAACCTTTATTTGGAGAGAAGAAACCTTTTTGATACCATAAACAGATAAGATCACATTAAGTGAATGTTTTTGATGGTGTATATTCAAAATTAATTTAATTTTTTTCTCTGATTTAACCAATTCCAAACAGAAATAATCAACATGCTTGGGGCCCTAGCTGGTTTGGCTCGGTGGATAGAGTGTTGGCTTGTGGACTAAAGGGTCCCGGGTTCGATTCTGGTCAAGGGCACATGCCCAGTGGTGGGCTTGATTCCCAGTCAGGGGTGTGCAGGAGGCAGCCAATTGATGATTCTCTCTCATCATTGATGTTTCTATCTCTCTCTACCTCTCCCTTCCTCTCCGAAATCAATAAAAATATATTTTTTTTAAAAAGAAAATCAGCTAAATAAAATGGACACTGATAGATTTAAAACAAAGATTTTTAAAAGTAAAAAAATAGCCCTAAGCGGTTTGGCTCAGTGGATAGAGCATCGGCCTGCGAACTCAAGGGTCCCGGGTTCGATTCTGGTCAAGGGCATGTACCTTGGTTGTGGGCACATCCCCAGTGGGGAGTGTGCAGGAGGCAGCTGATCAATGTTTCTCTCTCATCAATGTTTCTAACTCTCTATCCCTCTCCCTTCCTCTCTGTAAAAAATCAATAAAATATATTTTTTAAAAAATAAAAAATAATAGTAAACATGATTGGGGTCAGACTATCTCAGATTAAAATCCATATTAATAAGAATGTTGATATGTAGAAAATAAAACTTAAAAGTTCTGTTACTTTTTTTAGTACTGTATCTTAGGCTGCATTAAATAGGAAGGAGGTTTTTTTTTAATATATTTTATTGATTTTTTACAGAGTGGAAGGGAGAGGGATAGAGAGTTAGAAACATCGATGAGAGAGAGACATCAATCAGCTGCCTCCTGCACACCCCCCACCGGAGATGTGCCCGCAACCAAGGTACATGCCCTTGACTGGAATCAAACCCGGGACCTTACAGTCCACAGGCTGACGCTCTATCCACTGAGCCAAACCAGTCAGGGCAGGAAGGAGTTCTTAAAACCTGATACATTGATGAAGTTGTAGCACTTCTCATATGTGCATTTGAATTGGAAAATTTCAGAGTTGTTGCTGTCCATTAATTATGATCATTTAAATTTTGACCTGAAGAAACAGAGTCGAGTTCAGTTTTCTGGCTCCTAGGAAGAGATTTGGATCATATTTCAACCTCAACTAATATGTGTATTATACAAGCACAGGGTTTTAACAGTGACCACAGGCACTCCCCCCCCCCCCCGCCCCCCCCCCCCCCAGGACTCTTCATGGCAAACAAGCACATTGGTGGAAGAAATTAGAGTAATTTCCCAAAAGAGATGAGAACTGATTGTTAAAGGAAGAGTCTCCAGGCTAGTAGATGAGGGGTGTGGAAAGGGCATTTGAGGCAGAGGGAACAGTATCAAGTCCTCAAAGTAGGAGAGAAAGGAGCATAACCAAGAGGATGGCTGGAACATTTTGAACAAGGGTAGAAATTAGATAGATAAATAGGCAATAATTATCCTCTAATTGGTGGTAGGTTATTTAACATTTTTTAAAAGAATGATATAATTAGATTCACGTTTCAATAAAAGAAATCGCATCAGTGTAGAAAATAAACTGGAAGGGGAAAGATCAGAGGTAGGAAGACTGGCCTGTTCAAAGACTGGTCCTAAGACGTAAACTGAGTTGGGCAGGGAAGATGAAAAGAGGTTGGATAGATGATGTTGCAAAGCAGAACTCTCAGGGCTTGGTACCAGGGAGGGTAAGTAAAAGGGAAGCATTTAATACTGTCTAGGTCTCTGGCAGGTGGGGCTATGAGGTACCAGCTATCCTGGAAGGGACAGGACACCTGTCTAAGCCATCACCAAAAGCTCAAATATTTTTAAATGTTTACATATACTCTATCATTTTTATCTTTTAAGATAATTTTTATTTATTTTTTAAATACATTTTTTATTGATTTTTTACAGAGAGGAAGGGAGAGGGATAGAGATTTGAAACATCAATGAGAGAAACATCGATCAGCTGCCTCCTGCACACCCCCTCGTGGGAATGTGCCCACAACCAAGGTACATGCCCTTGACAGGAATCGAACCTGGGACCCTCCAGTCCGCAGGCCAACCCTCTATCCACTTAGCCAAACCGGTTAGGGCTTAAGATAATTTTTTAAATCGTGGTGTAAAAAGTATGCTTTAGGAAGATGACCCATATTTAGTCTATGGTGTTGAATAACCTGTTACACACCTGTGAAATAAGAGTCCTCCCCCAGGAAAAAAAAGCATTGGGTTAATGGAACTACAAAATGGAGCCCTAGTGGGTTTGGCTCAGTGGATAGAGCCAAACTGAAGGCTCCCGGTTCAATTCCGGTCTAGGGCACATACCTCAGTTGCAGGCTCAATCCCTGGCCCTCATCACGGTACGTGCAGAAGGCAACCAAAAGATGTGTCTCATATCAAGGTTTCTCTCCCCCTCCCTTCCACTCTCTCTAAAAATCAATGGAAAAATATCCTGAGGTGAGGATTAACAAAAGAACAAAAAAATGATTGGAGGAGAATGCAGAATGAGTGGCCTAATGCTAAATAACACAAAAGCAAGATCAGCAAAGAAATTTCTACCAAGTTTACAATTCAGGAAAATAGATTTGAAAGCATTTGTCTCCTGGAATGGAGCTGAGAATTGGGGGCATGTGTGAGAAAGTTACCAGGGCATATTAATATTACTGCCTTGAGGAGGCCCTGTCTTCTGCTGTGCAGGACTGGGCCCTGTCCTTTCTGTCCTGGGGATAGTTCACTTCAGCCTCTCCTGTGGATCTATTCAGTCTCTGTAGCCTCACTGAGCACAAGCCAGTTGGGATCAGGAACTCTCAGCCACACAACCTCTATCCAGCCTCCTGCCCGGTGTCCCTTGGCCTCCTTTACACCGGCCTTTAAGAGACAGATGCATCTCCCTGGTCTGGGCAAATCCTTGTTGCCACTCCTCCATACACAGGACCTATCTGTCTCCTCCTGACTGCCTCCCTGCCAGATGAAGTTGTTCAGACATTGCCCCAGTCAGAAAACTGTACCACTTGAGGCCCAATGCTTCCTTCTCAGCGTCCAATATTGCCAATTTCAGAGAATCCCTCAGTCCGCAAGCCCAATTTCTGGCCCCACCCCTTCTACAGAGACCTGCCTGGGTAGCAGAGACCTCCCAGCTACCTAGTCCGAAGGGCATTCTCCTCTGGGCCTCTACAGATTCACACTGGCCTTGAAATGTTCCCTTTAATGGGTGGGCCTCTGCTGCTCCTTGCTTCGCCCCCCTTCTCTCACTGTCCAACTCCCTTTCTGCCCCCATTGTCTCAGTTGCAGTTTTCATGGTTACATGTGTGGCTCTTTTATCTTACGGCAGGATGCACTGTCCCCAAACAGTGCCATCCTGACTCACGCCTTTGTTTAAGTTGCTACTTCTGCTGCTGGGAAATGTCCTCCCTTCCTCCCCTGGTCAACTCCTCTTCCTCTGCCTGTGTCTGCCTCCCACTTCACAGCCACTGCCGGTTGCACGCTCTCTCTTCCTTGCTCCCTTCGCATCTTGTGACCCTGTGCATTTCAACACCTGACACACTTGACCCAATCACTTCCCATCCTGCCCCACTGGGCTGGGATGGTTTGAGGGCAAGGATGGAGCCAGAGCCCACCGATCGCTGCTGAAATGAGCCCAACAGTGTACGTAGTTCCGAGCCTATGAGAACTTGAGTATGTTTCCATCAGAATGCTTTTATTAAAACTGTATGCAGGTGTTTATTTTTGTTTATGTGGAAAAGGCAATATATATTTACACGGCACAAAATTTCAAAGGTATGCGGGGAGAAGCCTGCCTCCCACCTCTGTCCCCCAGGTCCTGGAGTCCCCAGCAACACTGTTAGCCTTTTCCTTCCAGCCTTGCCCACGCTCCTGTGCGCACTCCTTTCGCAGGAGATCGCTGGTCACTTCTCGGGCTTCTGGCTCCTTTCTCGTGGCCGCCGGGCTTCCCC